GTCCCGGTCCTGCGCCATGCGTCCCGCTGCTGCACCACTTAACAACAACAGATGGTGGATCGTCCTTCTCCCGTTCGCCCTCCTGCTGCTCCTCCGTTCTTCCTCCTCCTCCCACTGCTCTGACACAGGGAACGCTGCACGTGGGCTCGTTCGCATATGGCTGGCGCGGAGCGGAACAGCGCAGAGGCCGATTCGCATTGCCGTCCCTTTTCGATGTGCGCCTACGCCCAGCTCGCCTTTTACCGCGACCAGCCCCACGCCGCGCCACGCCACGCCGCTTTGAATTTCGTGGGCCTCCGCCTCGCCCCCCCGCCCCTTCGCCTCGGCCTCGCCCCCACACTGGTCCCACTGTCCGGTTTGTGCCTCGCCCTCATTCCGCCACAAGTCCCACGATTTTCGTTGGGCCCGCGACCAGGCATGTCGCCGGGCCCTTTGTTTGCTTTAGTAGTATAGAGATAGAGATATTTAAAATATAGCAAAAAAAAAAGCAAAGAAATAAAAAAAGAATAGAGGTAGTATATATCGTCAATCAGAGCTGCCCGGTAAACCATAGGCGGAGAGGGAAGACAACAAACGAGGGGCTATGTTAGATAAAAAATCTGATACACTCATTTTTGAATGTGAAACTGGAAATTATCATACTTCACATTGAATTGAAGGACTAGGAGAGAACTAGGGTGGGCGTTGACTTACCTAAGCCGGTTTGGCTATAGAGTTGTCTGCACGGCGCTATTGTTTTGCCATGTCTAGAACAAACGCGGGTTGATTGGCGTTTCATCTCCGTAAGTTCATTCCAAACTACCTACTTCGGTTGATTGTTGTGTCTAGATTAGAGTTTGAAACTGCACGACTGCCATCTATCCCCGTTTGTTCTGATCGGTCTCCCTGCCAGACTTCTCCGTTCGTCCTTCCCCTTCCTCTTGGCCTCCTCCCAACCTCCTCTTCCTCCTCATGCTCTTCCTTACCCATTCCCCCATCCACTCTCATCCACCCCCCTTCGCCCGACCTTTCACTCCCTCCGTACTCCACCCAACCAACCTCTTCCCTCGCTCATCCTTCCCTTTGCTCTCCCTCCGCTCAACTTCTCCCTGCCATTTGTGCCCTTCCTCCCGGCCTCCTCCGGACCCCTTTTTCAACCTCCTCCCGACCATCTCCCTCCCCTTTCTTCCTTCGCCCAATCTTCGGCTGACCTCCTCCTTCCTCCTATGTCCTCCTCCCGACCATCTCCCTCCCCTTTCTTCCTTCGCCCAATCTTCGGCTGACCTCCTCCTTCCCCCTATGTCCTCCCCCCTCGTCCTTCCTCCTGATCTCCACCACCGCCTGACCATTTTCCCCCGATCTCCTACCCTCCCTTCCTTGCTCGGCCCGATCTCCACCTAACCTCCTCCCTCCATTCCGCCCTCCACCCAACTACAGTTTGTTTTTCTCATTTCTTTCAGGTGGACCTAAACGTTGCATTTCTTTTCTCTCTCGCTCTCGCTCTCTGATACATGCTCGGTCGAGCGATGTATATGGAGCCAAGGATCCGCGAAGTGATGAAAAGGACTCGAATGGACAAGGCAGCTTCAGCAAAGCATCAACAAGCAATGTGCATCCAGATGCATACGGAAATAGCACAACGTAGCGCAGCGGAAGACTCAAAGATATGACCTGACCTATCAGATACTAACGCGACAACCCATCATACACCACACATGTGAGCAAGAGGGGAGGGACTGCATACATGGAAGAAAGGTCCCTCCTTGAGCACGCACATGGGGGAGATACCACGGATGAGGAGATGGGGGAGAAGACCAAGATCGTGATAACGAAGTCCAAAAATAGTCCCCCTGTCGAATGCCCGATCAATGTCTGCCACAAAAATGTCATGGCCTGATGTACCCTCTGCCTCTAACCTCTCTCTCTCTCTCTCTCTCTCTCTCTCTCTCTCTCTGAAGAAGAAAAGAAGAAGAAGATGAAGATGAAGAAGAAGAAGAGCAGCAGGAAGGAGGAAGGAGGAAGGAGGAAGAAGAGATGGACGGAGAGACGCAGAAGAAGGAGAAGATGCTCCTCCTTGCTGTCTCACCTACAGGTAACCGCCTTCGGTGTCCTTGCAAAGGTCGCTGGCGTGGAGCACAGCTATGGACCCAACTAAGTATCGCCGCTGCAGATATGGCCTCCGCTTCACCTTCTACCTACGCCTCTACCTCTCGCGCAGTGCCGTGTTGCGCTGCTCCAGAAGCATGTTGCCCAAGAAGTGAGCTACTCGAACTGTCCATGAGCCCTTGCCTAAAACGGCCCACACTGTCTGGGTCCCTACCGGGCATCCAGACCTTCCTGCTGATGCAGCAGGGAACATCCTGCTAGCGTACAAAACTGAACCTGGCCTCTAAGGGCTCAACCGCGAAGGAGGCCCAAAATGTGGCCTAGGTCCGAACAGACTGAAAGTCTGTTCGGACATTGCAAGTCCGAAACGACGCCTGAGCACACAAAAATGGGACAGCACATAAATAAATAAATAAATGTTGCCGCAAATCGAATCTTGCGGCCCTAAGGCCGGCCGTGGGCCTCCAGGGCACATGTCCGAAGGGTGTGCGGCCTGGGCCCTGGGGTCCCCCAACAATCGTCGGGGCTCCCAAAATGGGGCCCGTGTGCAGGCTCAGCATGTAACATCCCCCCATCCTTATGAAGTAAAGATGGGTCGAGGGCGAGCTGACCATCCAATGGTGGAACCTGGACGTGAGTATGTCGTGGAGCCGAAGGTGCCGGCTTGCCTTGTTGTTTGCGTTCGTAACGTGCGAGGACATCGGGGGTTGTAGCCTGAAGTTCCACACGGGTCAACCAACGGTCAGCCTTATGGCTACAATAGGAAAAATGTACTAAGAACTCCGTCGGCTTGGTGTCGTAGCGCCACTGCGAAATGATGTCACTAACCTCCTGAAAAACGTCCATGGAGGGTGGGTCTTGCGATCGTCGTTTGGGAAAGTTGTCACGTTCCGCCGAAACGAAAAGAGCCAACTTTGAGCAATGAAAAACCGGGTAGACGGGCAAGTGCGCAGGCACCTGAATGACAAATGAAGGTCCTTCGGGTGCGTCACTAGTCGGTGCTACAATGCGCCAAGGCCCCATCCATTTCGGAAGGAGCTTGCTAGACATATCTTGTTCGAGGCTGAATTCCGCGGCGGAGACCCAAACGAGGTCGCCGGCGTGGAACGAACAAGGAAGACGCTTGCGATTGGCCTGACCGCTCATGCGTTGCTGCGTCTTCGACATCTGGTCGTATGCCTTGACAAGGAACTCTTACATTCATCGAGTGAAGATAAGATGGACGTCGCTCTCGGTCGTCCGTGGGATGATAGTGTCCAACGGTGATGTGACCGGCAAGCCATTCTCAAACTCGAAGGGCGACATCCCAATAGCTAGATGAATGGACGAGTTGTAAGCCAACTCGAGGTCTGGCAGCTGCTCAACCCAATCCTTTTGATCGGGACAGATGAGAGTGCGAAGAAGCACCTGTGTGGTTTGATGCGTCCTCTCCGTTTGGCCATTGGTTTGTGGGTGGCGAGTCGAACTCGGCTTGAGAGATGAGCCCCATCGTTTGATGAGCGCCAACCAAAAGTCCAACATGAACCGAGTGTCGTGGTCCCAAACGATCTCCTTGGGGTAACCCTTGGTAGGAATCCAACCAGCGTAAAAAACCTCGGCCAATTCCTGTGTCGTGGCGTGATAGCGACAAGGCAAAAACATGGCGAGGCGAACTTGGTGAATCGATCGACCACCATGAGAATCCCATCCATAACCGTCTTATGCTTGGGAAACGGTCTGGTGATGTCCATGGCAATCGATTCCCATCGTCCTCAAGGGACCGGTAATGGTCACAACTCGCCGAACGGACAATGATTGCGGGATTTGCAACGCCAACAAACATCGCATGACTCGCAATGGAGTGTGATGTCGCCGAGAAGGCCGGGGCACCAAAAGCACTCGTGAAGTCGGCCAATTGTACGATTGACTCCGAAGTGTCCGGTGGCAGGAGCGTCG